CTGCCTCAATGCATCTACTGTCTTGACATTTTTAATCCTTTCTCTGGCACTTCTGTATTCCGTTTGTCATAAAATGAAAAACCTCTGTCATGTGATAGCATGGCTAAATCTGTGAAAGCATGGCTAAGTCAACATAGATGTTATGCTGACAATGTGAATGGCTTATTTATTCATTATAAATCAATAGTACCTTCCTTTGCTATAAGGCTCTTTCAACAGCTTTATCCAACAGTTAGCTTCTCACTGTTTTCAGAGACTTTGGAAATGTAGACATTTGACTTTATTTCTGTGTTTTGCATAGAATGGAGTTTTTCCCCACATTGTTTAATGCTAGGCTAGACACCAAGAGATGGTTAATTCTAGTTTTGCCTTAACCATGAAAGCTGGCTGGGTAACTTTGGGCCAATCATTCTCTCAGCCCAACCCATTTTACAGGGTTATAGTTGTTTGGAAAATAGAAGGAAGGAAAGTATGTTCATCACTTTGAGTTACTTGTAAAAAACAAAGACTTGGATTAAAAAAAATAAGAGTTGTAAAATAAATAACCCAAATAATAAATGAATTTTAAGTAGCACCATTTTTTTTAAAAAAAACCCAACATTCTATTTCACTTGGTTGCATTTAGTTTTATTCATGGCTTCTAAGACTAAATTTAAAGCAAAAGTGCTCCTAAGAGTGAAATAAATGGGCCTGAAGCTGTTTCGCCACTGAAAAGGTAGTTCTTTTCTAGCATTGCAACTATAAATTTCACTTAAATGATTCATGTGAGCTAAACCTTATTTTATTTTAAGATCTCCAAAGCCCAAAGAAAGAAATACATCCAAATAATGAAATAATTTACTAAACTAAAGGAGTGTTTGCTATTCCTTGAATGCTAGACTCAAAACATCATGTTTTTGAAAATTAAAGAACATATTTATGTGTTTGAGAGATTCAAGGAGAAGGATTCTTTCTTTCTTGTTTTCATATGTCCATAACAATATAACTCAGAACATAACTAAATATTCATCCTTTTTTTAAAAGTTCTAAATCCTTTTACATGGACCTAGAATTAGAATGTTTATTTTCTCAGAATAACAGGCTGTCCTTGGCTTACGACCATTTGTTTAATCACTGTTCAAAGTTACAATGGCACTAAACAAAGTGATTTATGACTGATCTTTGCATTTATGATTGTTGCAGCATTCCTACAATCACATGATCAAGAACTGGGTGCTTGGCAACCAGCATGTATTTATAATGGTTGCAGTGTCCCATGGACCACGTGATTGCATTTTCGATCTACTTGGCCACTTCAGATAAGCAAATGGCGGCAGCTGGATTTGCTTAACAACTCATGGCAAAAAAGGTTTTAAAATTGGGTGTGGTCACAGGATGACTTAATGACCACATTGCTTAGTAACAATAGGTCCAGTTGCAATTGTGGCCTTAAGGACTACCTGTATGCTTCCTGCAAGTAAGCTTGCAATCTTTGATATAACTCACTTCTAGTAGCTCCACTGACCAATTCAGCCTAAGTGAATACAAAATTTACTGTATGTGAAAACTAAGTTGCCTTAAAAGGCTAATAAAGATTTTAATAGAATATTAATGCATTTAGCATTTATTACTTCGTCACAAATTTGAAACCCGGTGTCTGGAGAGGCATTAAACATCAGTCACTCATTTGCTCGGATGATTTGGGGGGGAGGGGTTGAAGGGATCCCTGCTATAGCCACATTGCAGGGGTCAACAATAATATTGGACTGTAGTTCTTGTTACTTCTAATGCTATTAACTAAATCTGGTGAGAGCTGGGAATCAATGTATCTGGAGGGTCATAAATCAACGCCTAAGTGCACATTTTGCAGCCCAGAAGAGCATGTAGCTTACACAGTTTGGCTATAACTCCAATATTTTCCCAAATTCTGGTTATACATGAAAAGTATGCAAATACGGTACTTGCATCAAAACTCCTCTTCAACTGTTAGGTTTGCTATTCATTCATAAATGTTGTCTGATGCAAAACGGTTATAAAATGCTGAAAATAATTACAGAATACAGCTCTGGAGCAATCATCTTTCACTATACATACAAGCTGATCTTTTCTAGAAATTTTTTGAGTGTGAGCTCTGAAGGCCTAGCTCTTGGAAGTAATTTTTAAAAATCTGTTTTGTTTGGGGGGCTTCGGGGGATTTTGATGCTGGTTTTTTAGGACCATATTACAAGCATCAATGTAATTTCAGCTATGAAATAGTAAATTTAAAGTAAATTTTAAATCTTGAAACACTTCTCATTTTGTGTTTCTTCTATTCACTAACAGCTGATGCAATACTGCATTTCTTAAGAACAGAGTGTCTAAAGATCTCTTAACTCCAGCACTGCACATCCATTCACTTGTTGATATTCTTAAAGGAATTATTATTGTTCATAATTGTGTAGACACCTATATGTAGGAGATATGATTTGTAGTCTGCACAATGTTGTACTATTTTTGTAGGCTGCACAATGCTATTATGCTGTGATCTATAGCTTATTTGTTAATGCACTACCAATGGCTTCCTAATGGCAATGAGGAATATTAGTGAACAAAGAGAGAAAGACAGCACAACTTCTCTGGATATTTACCAATTCCGTAAAACAAATGTGGATACCAGAATCAAGGCAGGACAAGACTCCGGGGTCTTTTTATTCAGCAGAATTATTAGGAGTCACCTTATTTGTGAACTGGATTGATGTTTCATCAGATGAAATTTGTACTACAATTCCAACTCTATTTAAACCAAAACTTCTTGCTGCTCTTGTTTTGCTAATATATGAGAATGTATTATAAATCAAGAAATGACAAATCAGGAGCTTGAATAACGTCAAGCGGATTGCTTTATTGCCAGTTTTTGGCCATATACTCTAGTTGCCTTTCAGAAACAAAATTAAGTTTCAGGAAGACCACAGCGTTGGTCTGCTTATACAAGTGTTTGTTTGTTTGCTTGTTTGTTTAATACAGCAAATTTACATGGTTACCTATGTCAGAAAAAGTGACTGTGAGTAATATATAATAATTAATTAACACTAATCCTAGAAATACTGTTACTATTAAAAATGTAAACAATTGCAAGACACAAAAGAGAACAGATGGTAGTTTCAGCCAGGCTAATAAGGAACTAGGTATGTTTAACCTAATGAAGAGAAGGTTTAGGGGTGATAACAGTATTCCAATATTTGAAGGGATGTCACACAGGATTTTTTCTCCAAAGCAGGACAACAAACAATGGGTGGAAGCTCAACAGAAGGAGATCCAATCTGGAAATGACAAGGAATTTCCTGAGAGTGAAAATGATTAATCAATGGAACAGCTTGCCTCCCGGAATTGTGGGTGCTCCATCGCTGGAAGTTTTCAAAACAAAGATTGGACAACCATTTGTCCGAGATGGTATAAGGACTCCAGATTTGGGCAAAAGACCTTCAAGGTCTTTTCCAGCATTATGATTCTATGATTCTATATTCAGAAGGGTGACCAAGGAGTCATCAAAGGGTCATACACAGAGAAAGGCTAGATTTTAGAGAAGAGCTCATCAAATGTCACTTCCAAGTCTCATAGCTGAGGTGCAGTCAGCCTGCAGCAGTCTAGTGCTAAAGCGTGATTTGTTGTTTATAATTTGTTTCCCTGCCTGTTCAATTCTGCTTCTTAGAACTACCATAGTTCTGCATTGTGATTCATGTCCCCTAACCATAGCTTATGATCTGACCTGGTTAAGTTTATTTTTCTTTTTACTATGAACAATAGTAAAGAATAATGAACAATTATTCTTGACTTTAGGATTGCTTTTGGATCTAGTTTTAGAACCTGTTAAATTTCCTGCAACTGTACATTACTATTGCATTCCACTTACATCGTAAATTTAATGGCATTTGGAATTTCCAGCTTGAACAAAATTCCTTCGGAGAAATTCTAAAGGGCTTCCAATAAATCTTTAGGCATAGTTTTTCAGCGTAAGACTCCTTCTTTCCAAGTGGTAAATTACTACAAAAATTAGATAATGAAAGATTCACAGTGCTTGCTGCTGAAGGTCTTGGCAACATTTGAATGGCATACTGGGGACCTCACTGTAAGAGGGATAGGACAAAAACTAAAATACTGAATTGATTTTAACTCACTTGTAGTGATCTAGATCCCATTGCAGTACAATTGAAACATGCCTTTAATGCACATTAAAAACACATGAGTAAAACAAAATAATCTGTCATGTACATCCAGAATTTGAGCAAATAACCAAAACCTTTGTTAGCCATGTGCCGACCTGAGCTGCAAAATATGCACTTAGGAGTTGATTTATGACCCTCCAGATACATTGATCCCCAGTTCTCAACGTATCTAGTGAATAGCATTAGAAATAAAATATTACAGGAACTGCAGTCCAATAACATTTAGAAAGTTACTTGCTGACTCCTGTGTGATGGCTATAGCAGGGACCACAGGAACCTCACCATTGTAAGTCTTCAGAACAGTGATATGAGAATGAGTGATATTTTAGGCCTCTTCAGACGCAAGGTTTCGAATTGTGACAAAATAATAAATAGTAAACACATTAAGATTCTATAAGAATCTCTATCGGACCTATGAGGCAAATATTGTTAAAACACAAGTTTATTTGTTCACTTAGGCTGAAATCCTAAGTGGAGCTACTAGAAGTGAGCTCCTTGTAGGCTTACCTCAAGAAAGTATAGTTGAAATGTATGCAAATACTTGCATGAAAATTCCTCTACAATTGGTGAGTTGCTACTCCCTCATAATTTTTTCTTTTGCATATATACAAAACACCAAAAATAATTAGATTGATAATTGAACACTGTTAAATATTTTAATATACAGTACATACAGACTTAATTGAGCTCTAAGCCTTTAGCACTTCTTAAAAATCTGTTTTGTTTTCTAATTTGGGATTTTGTTGTTGCTTTTTTAGGACCATTATTACAGCCATCTATATAATTTCAGGTATGGAATAGTAAAAAAGCATTACTTACTGTCCAGGTTTAGCTGAGCAGACTAAGCTACTGATCCAAATTGTCCTTTTTCAATTCTCCTACTATGTTTTTTTAAAAAACCTTCTCTCTTTGTAGCTCTGGATTAACTAAGTACTGCTGGTGCAATACTGAATTTCTTAAGAACTGAAAGTATTTAAAGACCTCCTCTTAACTCCAGCCCTGCACATCCATCCACCTGTTGATATTCTTAAAGGAATATCAGCCTCCCAAATGCACACAGCCATAGAGGTATTATGCAGGCACATGCATGTAGAAAATATGATTTCTAGCCTGCACAATGTTATTGTACTTCCAATGGCTTCATAATGGCAATAGAGAATATTAGCAAACATTGGAAGAAAGAAAGCACAACTTTTCTGGATAATATTTGCCAATTCCATAGCAGAAATGTGGACAGCAGAATACAGAGTCAACCCACATGAACTCCACAATTTTTGATCTCTTTATTTTAGTTATATATCAAATGTATAAGCTGCCCATCGCACAAAAAGTGACGCTGGGCAGTGTACAGCAATTAATAAAACAATAAACATATAAAAAGAGTCATTATTAAAAACGTAAAAAAAAAAAATCACAAGGCAAAAAGTAAGAATACATGTTAAGTTCCAGCCAAATTGATATCCAGATAAATTATGACAAGGAGCTAAGGAATGCAGATGCCTTAGAGTCATCAAGGGAGAATAGACACAGAAATTCTAGATTTTAGAGAAGGACTCCTCAAGTGTAACTTCCAAATATTGCTTCCAAATAGCCTAGTAAGACCACAGCAGTCCTAAAGTATGGTTTGTTGCTTGTAATTTGGCACCCTGCCAGTTAGTTCTGGCTCCCAGGATTACTATAATTCTGCATTGTGCTTCCTCTCCCCCAACTATGCCTTGGGTTCTGATCTGGGTAATTTGCTTTTTATACAGTGCAATTGTGCTTGACTTTTGGAGCACATTGCATTTTGAGCACATTTCCCTGAACTACTTTATCTTTCAAACCAAGGCAGGGCCAAGATGCCAAAAATAGCTTGAATGGATGTATGGATATATAGCATTGGATATAGAAATGGGAAAGTGCCATCTCAAAGAATGTGTCCATTCTGTAAAGGCAGCTTTAGCTTGAGACTTCAGTGCCCAAACAAATATCACATCAATAAAGTGTGAATACTGTTCTTGATAGTTTCTCCAGACAATTGTTTTATTTTTTATTAGAAATATATAAAAATAATGATTTTGTTATTGCAAATAAAGTATTAGATTAAAAAATGCTAATAATTTTTTAAAAATTATGTCCATTTTCTTTTTTTAAGGTTTTTACATTAAATCCCCAATTCTCTGACTTTTATTATCGGAAGGAGGGATATAGTTATTTACATTCACATATCCATATATTTATACTAATTAAATTCATTGATGGAGGGCTATTTTGAATTTTCAGAGAATTGAATATTGAACCACAAAGCCACATCACATTATAAAAATTGCTGAAATGTTAATATCCTATGAAAGCACAACCATTAGTCACACCATGAATGCTACCACAAAAACAAAGCTAAAGAAATGTCCAGTGGTTTTTAACCAGGGGTGTCTGCAGGGGGTGGCTTTAAAAAAATTAATATGGCTGCTAAAACCATGTGGTTGAAGCCCTGTCCTTTTTTATATGTGTTGTGACTCCTGCAAAAAAAGGGGTGGAGTTTCAATTGCGCAATTGGCCGCCATCTTTAACTTTTTTTTATCTCCTTCCTACTTTTGTCTCTAAAGCTATTTTTCAGGTTGGGAAATGAAATGTTGGAAAATTGATGGTCTAACGTAACATATTACAGCAAAAAATATAATGTATTATAGTAGATTATTAAGAGCCTCTTTCTAGGTGGCTGAGATGTGGACTTCAGACTCTTCTGTCATTTGGCTTTACAAGAAAGAAAAAGAACCGGATGGACAAGGATTTTTCTGAAACAGAAACTTCTCACCTGTTACTCATCAAAAGAATGAACAAGAGAAAGATAGTTTCGCTTTACTATAAATCACATGTCCTGTACCTGAAGTTTAAAAAAGAACTATAATAACAATATATCAGATTTTATGTTTGGTTTAAGATGTACTTTCCACAATTACATCATTAAACATTAACACTGCAATAGAAAATATTTTTTACTTTTAAATATCCTTTAAATATTCAGCTGATCTTATGTGTGCATTTACTTTTTCTAACCTTCAAATCTATAAAATAAGGAAAGGCAAGCGAAATCCAAACTTGTGATTATTATTCTATTTAGCAGCTTTTGTGTACAAATTATTTCTTTCATGTAAATGACTACTGCAATTAAAAGAAGGTAAGTTTTAATTCCAAACCAATATTCATTACTTATTAATAGCATTCTGTCTTTTAGTCTTAATGGTCATTCTGTCAAGTGGCTGACAATAAGATTTCTTTTTCTTTTTCTATAATTTGGAGAATTTGACTTTTTAACTTATATAAATAGGAGTAGCAGCACATTATCAGTTTGCCCTGCTATTATTTATAATTGTAGATAATCCTTGACTTATGACCACAATTAGGACCAGAATTTCCATTGCAAGATAGTTGTCAAGTCTACCACACCCTATTTTACAATGCAGTCACTAGGCAAATCTGGCTTCCCCCATTGACTTTGCTTGAAAGCCAACTGGGGAGGTCACAAATGGTGATCGCATGATTCCAGGACACTTCAATTGTCTTAATTATGGTACATGCCGGTTGCCAAGCAGCCAAATTTTGATCATGTGACCACGGGAGTGCTGAAATGGATGTAAGTGCAAAACTGATCACAAATCATTTTTAAGTACCATTGTAAATTCAAATGGTCGCTAAGTGAATGATTGTAAGTCGAGAACTACCTTTACTACATAATTTATTATAAAAAGGCTGGAACAGATGTAAGATAAATTGTTACCCTATCCAGGAGTTCTCAAAACTATTTGCAGTAAGGGTATTTTCCCAATGTAAGTGGGGGGGGATTCACATATTTATGTTCAATTGATCTTGAAAATATGTCTTTCAGAAAAAGAATTAAACGACTATAGTTTAAAAAACTGAATTCGGGGGAAACAGATTGCTTAATTGCTATTTGCAATTTCCCCATTAAAATGTTATTCCAAATCAATTTTACAATATTGATTTTATTTATTGAGACTTGATATTTTGCAACTTGGACCACATTTTTCTTCAGCCAGTTCTCATCATTTACCTTTTAACAAAATTAGCATTTGATGAGAAATTCAAACAGATGCAGTCATTCCCCCCCAAACTTTAAAAACATCTTACTAAATATTATACATATAATGATTAAGGTGTTGACCTACAAAGCAGAGGATTACATTCTAGGCCTCCCTTAAATATGAAAGCCAACTGAGTGACTGGGTTATCACTCTCTCAGCCCAACTGCTTCCCAGAGTTGTTGTTGGAAAATAATAGGCAGGAATAGGTATGTTTGCTGCCTTGAGTTATAGATATACAAGTATGGGTTAAAAAGAGATGGGATTAAAAAAATAATAATCCTCCAGTTGTGGGCCTTGCATGGTCTGAGGAAGATGAGAGCTATACTGGACAGGTCTCATCAATGGATCCAGATGAAATGTATCTTTCCCATAAACAATATGGATATAACTTACAGAAACTAATATTGGATCAGTATCAGTATTGGGCAGTGGTGGGATTCAAATAATTTAACAACTGGTTCTCTGCCCTAATGATCGCTGGGTGGGCGTGGCCATGGTGGGCGTGGCAAGAGGGTGTGACAAGCAGCACTTGGCTTTCTGCAGTCCTGTGGGAGCAAAAATGGGCCACTGGGGGGAATGTGCCACCCGCACCGTGCCCCATTTTGGGACTAGTAGGCCTCCCTGCACTTACCCGGGAGCCAAAATGGGGCGAATGGAGGGGATGGGGTGGAGCCAGCCAGCAATTTAACTACCGGTTTGCCAGAACTGGCCCGAACTGGCTGAATCCCACCACTGGTATTAGGTCAACAAGGACTATGGTCAGTATTGGAGTTCTTGGACATCTGGTGACAAGGCAGCTATGAGAGTCAGGACTGTTAGGTGAGCAATCAGGATCAACAGCTGTAGGACAAATGGAAGAAGAGTTGCTTACCCATCACAATATACAAAGAGTGAAAACAAAGAAATAATGATTTGCTATTACAAATCAAGACCAGCGAGAAGAGGATATTAGAAAAGAATGCACCAGTTCTAGAAAGAACATCCATAATCAGTAATAACAGGGCATAGACTAGCAGATCAAGGTCGTTTTGTAATATGAAATAAAATATTTACAGAAATGGAATTAGAAGAACTGCAAGGTAAAAAACAAAACTGAAGTCTTGCCAGAAGTAGTTCAGACAGAAGAGAAAAACCAGAAGAGTTGGTAATGGAAAAAGCCAGCATCGCTAATGAATCATTCTCATTCCCAAGCCAAGCACCTTCACCTCTACCTTTTCTTCAGAAAGAACAAAGTCCTGTAATTGAAAAACAAGAGGAACTGAAATGAAGAATAACTGAGCATCTAGAACAGCACTAAAATAATAGAATGAAGTAGTCTGCTTTGAACAAAAATGAACAAACAAACAAAAAACCAGTTGGCCAAAGTATTAAAAGATGCCAATATTGTAATATCAAATATAAGCACTAGCTCACTGCAAGAAATAAACCAACTAATGTACAACTGCAATTATAAATGAAGATCTTGGATACAAATGAACAAGAAAAAAAAGCTAAACTGTGCGCCACCAAAATGGAAGATAGGATAAGAAAAGAAGACCAGGATGTTAAAATCAGATGCAATCAAGCTACAACAGCAGTAAAAAAAAAGCTGAAAAAGAAGATCAAATAATATCTGATCCAGAAATAACACCTAGAGGCAAGCACTGGGAAAAGTAAAGCAGGAAATAAAAGCGGTAGCCAAGAAAATCAGCAGGTACAAAGATTGGACTGTACCTTACAGCCAGAGTTTCCAATTTCAGTCTAATTAGAACAGTTTCTACCAATTCATCAATGGAGAGTGCAATAAAGCAGCCAACATCTGACAAGAAAAAAACTGCAGTTCTTGGTACAACTATGGAACAATACAACAAGAAGGCAGCTTGGATAAAGGAAGTGGAGAAGGGGAAAGGTTGAAATGAAAGAACTTGTGATAACAGCAAAAATGGTGGAGAAAATAGCAAGGAAGAGCAAGAATTGGTCAGGACCTGATGAAGATGAATTGCATAATGTTTGGTTGTATCATCTGACCAGTCTGCACCCACAGATTTCCAAACAGTTTAACAATACACAGCAAGGAGCTGAAATTGAATATTGAATAATGGAGGTTCATTCTCTGAGCTTGTGGGTTGGTTTCCGAATGTTTCATTACCATTACCTTTCATTAATGAAAGGTTCAACAAAAATTGGCAATTACTGGCCAATTACCTAACTACCAACATTAAAATTGCTAACTGGTATGGTAGCAGATGCAGTCCAACAGCATCCAGTTGAAAACAAGTTATTTCCACCAAAGCAGAAAAAAACAGCAGAGGAAAAAAAGATCAGTTCTTAACTAACAACATGATTTTGGAAAACTCTAAAGGAAGGAAGTTCAACTTGAATATAGCTTGGATTGATTACAAGAAGGCATCTGACTTTCTGCCACATAACTAGATAATCAAGTGCCTAAAAATAATAGGAATCAGTAAAAACACCATAAGCTTTGTGAAAAGATCAATGGCATAATGGAAGACACAGTTGCTGCTCAATGGTGATATATACTGTATTGGAAGAGATTAATATCAAGAGAGGAATCTTTCAAGCAAATTCACTATCACCACTACTGTTTCTCACAGCACTGATTCGTCTGTCAACAATGCAGAACAAGTCAGACATCTGCCAGCCCCTTTATATGGATGATCTGAAGGTGTATGGAAAAGACCATCTGAAATAGAATTACTACTTATTATTATCCATATATATAGCCAATATTTTGCACTGGAGTTTTGATTGGCAAGCAAGAACTGGTGGGACCATAAACAGACAAAATAATAGAAAATGAAGAAGCTTATCTGCTCTGGGACTTTAGAATTCAAACAGACAAGCATCTGCCATACAACACCTCAGGCATAATTATTGTTGATAAGAAAAAAAAGTCTGGATAATGGATATTGCAATACCTGGAGATAGCAAAAAGAATAGAACAGAAAGAACTGGGGAAAATCACAAAATACAAAGACTTACAAATAGAACTAGAACAACTGTGGCAAAAGAAAGCAAAAATAGAACCCATAGTAATAGATATTTTGTAGCATCTGGAGCATCATTTGCAGAGGTGGTATTCAGCCAGTTCGTACTGGTTTGGGCGAACCGGTAGCAGTGACTGTGGGTGGGGTGGGCCTGCCCACTTGCCCTGATGTAATGCCGTCCTATTTAGCCATGTTTTTGAGGCCAGGCACATGCATGGAAGGCTGGACGCATGCGTGGAAGGTGCGCATGCAAAACGAGCATGCAAAGCGAGCATGAAAAATGAGTATGCAAAGTGAGCATCCACATGTGCAGCGAACCGGTGCTAAGAATATTGGAAATATGGCATTGACAAAATCACCATCAGTCAATTGCAAAAGGCAGTTTTACTTAGAATAGGTTACTTCCTGAGACAATATCCATAATATTATTAAACAATTATTAACATCTGCCTATCCCAGATCTTTGGAAAGGACTTGATAGGTGGATAAAAATGCCAACCAAGTTTAAACATCTGGCTGATTGTGCAACCAACCATAATAAGGATTAGTACTATAGTAATTTTTATCAAAAAATCTAGGAGACAAAAGTTCAAGAGGGTGGAACTATCTGGTTACATTTCTGTTTTTTCTCATTATATGTATGTCATACAATGAATTGCTTGTTAAACTCCTTCCAGTTTTTAGGGTTATGACATATAGCCTATACTATTTACCACACATAAAAGGCCAAAGTCCCCAGGATTGCATAACTACAGTTGCAGAATTATTTGACTCTTTGCCATTAAATATTATCAGAAGAATTCTGCCCAAGGCTGCATTTGACTAAAGTGCCACTGTAATCTTGCTGAACTATTAAGTTTAGCTCTTTAGATTGGACATTTCATTTATGCGGCAACTTGAAGAGAAAAATGTTGACTTATTGCTTGGCAGCTGATTTATGGTGAGCTGTATACTAATTATGAGTTCTTATCATTTTAAATGAGGGCTATTCAGATTTCAACAACTGCTGTTACTCTTTGAAACTGAATTGCCAGGAAATGTACTATTATTCTGGCAGGAATTTGAGAAATTTTGAGACTGTAACAAGTTGCAATGAAGAACTGTCTATCTTTCTTTGACTTTTTTTTTTTGGTTTAGTTTACCACAAAAAAGGGGGGGGGGGAGGGAGGGAGGAAGAGAGAGAGAGTGCCACGCACATGCATGCAGTGTTAGACATTGCTTAGAAGCCTCAAAACATAATTTTAAAAAACCAATTATTGTTTTTATTATTATTACTATTTAATATGGTTGCCATCATTACTAAATTCCAAGTCAGTTTAAGCTAGGTGGGTTTTACATATTTCTACAGAAGCGCACGTTACATTGGCGACCTGAGGTTTTATGCCTTGTGCTAGTACTTTACCATTATATATATATATTTAATAATTTTATTTTAAATACACATTTGCACATAGACAAATGTATTACAGCAGAGCTTGCTAACTGTATCTATTCCCTAACATGTAGACAAATATACTATTTCTAATCATACTAAAAGATGGAAATTAGGCAAAAGGTAATTTTAATTACGTATGAATCTAAAATCATATAAAAGCCTCAAGCTGGTCAAGAACATAAAGAACACTGTTGTATAAAATAGTTACAGGATGTTATATACAAAAGAGCTTCTAGCACAGCAAGTTCTCACTGTGAAAATTAAACTGAGGGTCAATTATTAAATGTCTGTAGAACTACATGCACTTCAAGGGGTAAAACATCTCTAAATGGTAAAATAAAGCTGTCACAGCCATTGTTCACAGAACCAACTTGATAGGCCTCATATTTAGGATTAAACCTGGTGCGAAGCATCAAAAGTGGGAGAAACTTGTATCATATATAGAACCAGGATTTTTATTCAACAAACACTTTTCAAAGTATTAGCCTTTCATTTTGAATGAGTAAGATAAATGGATCACCTTACTCATGAGGCAACACAATAATTTAAAAAAAGAAAATGAGTAACTTTAGCCCTGGGAACACTGGGGTAGTTATAACCAGCAACTTCTGTACTATCACTTGCTGCACTGGAACAGCCTATATCAGGTATTCAAGTGCTCTTTAATAAAACTAGGATGATGTTCAATAAATGCTGCTCTGCAATATCTGTAATTTGTGGGACTGAATTTGTACCACCTGGTGATAATTTGAATCTTTAGTGATGCAAACTGGTTGTCTGTCTAGTGCATCATGACATTGTCACACAAATGATTTGATTGTGTAATTTGCGTCATTCTCATTTTGAAGACTGTTGCAATTAAGAAAGTCACATTATTTTCACAATGACATTGTAACACATGATGGCTATGTATTCCGCCATTACTCCCAGATTCCTAAGCATATTGCTGAAGTTTAGCAAATTTCATTCCAATAAAATAGGCATGGGATGAGATTACATTACAAAATAAGGTGAGGGAAAGAAGCTAATACAAAATGGTAACCGTATCTCCATAATCTAACAGATATCTCTGTAGGTCCTCTGTATAATATGAGCGAAGTTATTTTTAAGGCGGTCAGTCACTTTTACTGGAGTCTCCAGGATTAACTAAACAATAGACAGTAACTGTAGCATTTGCTAAAAGAGAATAGAAAAGAGAGGAATTAGTTTGATATCCTATGGATTTAAGCACTTATAAGTATTTTAGAATAATTGTGTTTATACAAAATTGACAGAAAGGAAGCCTTGTTAGTGGAAACTCCTATCCCATGTAATATTTTAGATTTTTTATTTATTTATAATAATTTATAATTTTCTGAAGCTTTACATTTCAATTATATAATCTTACTGTTTTAGCTGATAAATATGCACTTACTAGCTTTTAAAAAAATGTAAACTATACCTTCTTAAAGTCCCATATAAATTGTTTGACTTTTTTTTTTCACTTTGAACTTTATATGAAGAGTCCTTGGTGCTCTTTGAGCTTGGTTGTTTTCTTGCACTAGCACTAATGATGTTACCTAGTTTGGGTAATGAGACATCTGCAAGAAAACAACCAAGCTCAGAGACCACCAAAGACTGCTGATTTCAACTCTGAGCTGCAAATATTCTCCTTTATTGGAACTTTAACATGAACAGAAGATAAGCAAGGCCATGGCTGTGGTATAGGATCCATTCATCATAAAATTTTTGGATTGACTATAAGAGAGTGATATTATTGCAAAATTTTATTCAAGGGAGAGTAAATACAAAAACACAAGAATTATTGAGAAGAAAAATATTATCATCTGTTCATAACAATATGAATTCACAGCTGTTGGTTCTTTAGCTGGTGTTTGCTTTCATATGCATCAGGTTCTTCTCAAGAACTTAAGTAACTTTCCAAATGTCTCTCTTTTAAATAATGAATAGACAATTTGGTGCCCTTCAGATGCCTTAACTTTTATTAGTTCCAGCAACATAACAAAATTTTGTGTTATTTGTTGTTCAGAATAGCTGGTAGGCATCAGAGTGCTTTATTTTGACAAGTTGTTGCATCCTAAATTCACCTGTATCCAAAAACAAGCATACCGTATCTCTCAAACTCCAGATGACTTACTAGATGACAAAAAAAAGGGTTTTGTTCATTTTTTTTGTTTCCAAATAAACCAGATTTTGCAACCCAGTTAAAATAGGTCTATTTGGTAAGGAATGAAAAGTTGAAGGGAATTTGAGAGTCAGAATTATTGCTATTTATATGAATCAAATGAAGGACTTTTGAGTCAAAGAGGTGAAAATATTGTACCTTCATCAGAATTTAGAGCACCCTCATCTTCATCTGCTGAATTTCTACTATTATTTTGGGTAAGTTCCTCCAAACGCTTTTGACTAGTCGATGGCACTTCTCCTTCAAGAGTTTTCGAATGAATGTTAAGCAATGCTTTAAAAAAGAAAACAGAGCCTTACATTTTTATCCATTAACCAGTGATATAACATAATAGAATTACTGTACCCTGATTTTTCTTGAAATGTGGGAACAAACCATACATATGCATATATACACATTCACACATCTACCAATACCATATGTCTGTGCACAGACATACATATATGTATACTGTTTGAAAATATCCATTTTTGCCAAACTTGGCTGCAAAAATATGTCACATAAAGGCAATAACTAAGTATATATATGCTTTCAAATGTAGCTTTTGTTCTAAAATGCCATTTCATTATATCAGGTATCTGCAATTAAACAGGACAATCTAGGCCTGTATATATGCAGGCTTGTATGTATGTGGACCTGTATATGTGCAATGTGCATTACAGACAGAGTAGTCTGAGTAGTCTGGTGAGATATAGTACTTCCATGTTTTTGGCCAGCCAAGTCTAGACGATATTCCATTTTTAACTCTGCACAGGGTGACACTTCCTCAAACTGAGCTGATGCACAATTTGAGGGCGCTTCTGAACTCATGGCTCCTCTTCAAGGAGCAGGTGGCAACTGTAGCTAGGGAAGCTTTTGTACAGATTCATCTAGTGTGCCAATTGTGCCTTTTCCTGGACCGGGAGGCCTTCCTCATGGTCTCTCATGCCTTGGTCACCTTTACATACATAATTTAGATTGTGATCATTTGATCAGTGGGAAGGTTTTTCTAAGATTCATGATTGGAATTTTAAAAAGTAAGGTCTGATTTCATAGCTGGAGAACTGATTGGTCCATCAAATCTGTATACCACCAATTTCATATAAACATATAAACTTATGAACAGCTCTCAAATTTCTTTCCTGACTGTTTTAAAAACATCAGCATCCCTTTATTTTCCAACTCTGGATGAAAACAAAAAGAAAAGATTTGAGGAGGGGCCTTTTAGGATTATCAATAATCTTAGTTACAATTATGCCCCAAACACAAAATTCCATAAATGTAACTACATGTTTAAAGAGTCCCTTCTGTTATTCTCAGTAGCAGAAAAATTTGGCCTCAGTCACCTAGAATGAGCCATAGCCAAGTTATTGTTTGTTCAAGACATCTCACATTATATATCCCCAGGTTAATACTTCATTATTACTTGGAAGAAATGAAATAAATAAATATGATACACCAAAAAGAATATTTTGAACCAGGGGTGAAATCCAGCAGGTTCTGGAAAACCGGTAGCAGAAATTTTGAGCAGTTCAGAGAACTGGTAGCAGAAATTTTGAGTAGTTCGGAGAACTGGCAAATACCACCTCTGGCTGGCCCCAGAGTGGGGTGGGAATGGAGATTTTGCAATATCCTTCTCCCAGGAGTGGGGTGGGAATGGAGATTTTGCAGTATCCTTCCCCTGCCACGGCCACCAAGCCATACCATGCCCACCAAGCCACACCATGCCCACCAAGCCACACCCACAGAACCGGTAGTAAAAAAAATTGGATTTCACCACTGTTTTGAACCCTGTTTGTAATTCAAAACCTCCTGGACCTTATTAAAAATGTACTGAAACCAATTCTTAAATACATATAAAAGAGAAGAAATACTTCACATGTGCTCAACTTTATTTAACAGTGAAAATTAATTCAAAATATTTCCCTCCCTCTTATACAGAGCTTCAAAATGATTTAGGACTCTTCTAAATAAAGACAATATTTACTCTGGTCTTGTGTTATTGACTTGACAAACACGGATGTAGGTGCTCTGCCTATTCAGCTAAGAATCTGGTTTGCCTAGAATATTGAATGGGTGCAGTTACTAGAACACTTAAATGTATTGTAATTTTTTGCAATCTGGAGGATCACATCTAGGAATGCCATGACTCCAAAATCTCTCCTCTCCCCTCTGCTCCCTTCCCCTCATCTCTTCTCTCTTCCTCTTTCCTCACCTCTCCTCTGTTCCCTTTCTTTGACTAAGAGGCTTGCTGTTTGTGGATGTTAGAATTATTATTTATAATTGGGTAACTTCTACATTAGATTTCTGTAAGCCTAGGTGAAGGACTGTTATTGAAGACAGTTCAGAAACTCCATTGTTCAGAAATGTGATTGTAAGTCACTGTTGCCAACTGCGCAGAAGTTGTGCGATTATTGGAAAAATTGCATCAATCGCCAGCTAATTTTGATGTTAAAATCAAGCCAATGTGTAATATTGATAATGAAAGTCCCATGTAGCTTGCATCCATAATATTATGGCAATATCTTCAGCACTGCAACCAGTCTCAGGGACAGAGATCTCTGATTACTGATGCTCTGAATGAGATGACAACAGAGCCTTTGTGGATTCATGCATTTTGGTGGGGGGAACATATTCTCTGATATGGTCCATGTTATTCTTTCTGCCAGTGAAAATTCTTGTTCTTCAAGAACTGTCTTAGTTTTTGACATTATATTTTTGATATTTATTATCATGGTACTTATTTCAGCACATATATTTGTTGATTTATTATTTAATTTAAACCTATACTACATGTTAAATAATTTGCCGAGCTGCAATATTATGGTGTTACTGTAAATAAGCATGGGAGTCTGCACGAACCAAGGAAGACAAATGATAAAACATAATGACATTGTCACATAAATGCTGCAGCTTTTGAACTTCCGTTAGGCTGAAAGTATATAATGGTGGCATTTGCATGAAAACAACACAGTAGATATTCTCATTTTAAAATAATTATGGTTTGCTGCAGATAGTGCTATATCCAAGGTTTGCCCTTCATTTCAAAATTTCAGTTCTGAAGGATCCAATAATAATTTATGATTTTACTTACCAGTCTTCCTTTGTCTTATTTTAACAAGAACCAAAATAATCGTGACAGCAAGAAGTAGAAGTAGAGCAGGAACTGGTATTACAATTGCCAATAGATTTTGCTCACTGGATGAAAATCTGAAAATAAATTCAGTATAAATGTCCACAAGATCCTTTACTAGAGTTTGGAGTTTATTTATTCATAGTCCATCCAAAAAAATGCATCAATCCCATCAGACAAGAAATTTCAGCTGGTGGGGTCCAGGAGAAAAACCTTCTCTATGGTGGTTCCTGCCCTTCGGAACATCTTACTCTGTCCCCCACGGGAGATCTTGTCCCACTCTCCTGACCTTCCATAAAGGCCTGAAAACCTCAATCTGACAATTGGCTTGGGGCCCCAGTAGTGGGTTTCATGCTGGAGGTGGTTGATGGACTAATAGCAGATCCAGTGATGGGTTCCTTCTGGTTCGGCCCAGTTCGGCTGAGCTGGTAGCGGTGATATATGATGTCACCGAACCGGTTTTCTTTGTTCGGGAGCTGGGCCCTCCCTCCCACCCCGCATTATTCTTACCTTTTATTTGCCCCCCCCCCATCTATTTGCTGCTTCCCGAGTCCCAGCTGATCGGCTAGAAGGAAAAAAACTGTTTAAACACTTGCCGCGGGGCTTCAAGGGCCGCCCTACAGCTGATCAGTGTTAAAAGGCAGTGTGGTGGTAGAACAATGCACTCGAAAAACAAATGGGTAGACTGGTGCCTCCAAAAGCAAATGGGTAGACCGGTGCCTCCAAAAACAAATGGGTAGACTGGTGCCTCCAAAAACAAATGGGTAGACCGGTGCCTCCAAAAACAAATGAGTAGACTGTTGCCTCCAAAAACAAATGGGTAGACCGGTGCCTCCAAAAACAAATGGGTAGACCGGTACAGCTCTGCAAGCAGTTAAAAGCCCGGTAGACCAGTACCTCTGCTAAATCCTAAAAAATTGTCACATGGCCATCAAACCACGCCCACAAAATAAGCCACACCCACAGAACTGGTAGTAAAAAAAATTAGAACCCACCCCTGAGCAGATCCCACCTTACCCCCTGCATACCTTGTTCCTTCCCTTCCCATCTTTTTACCTTAACTTATAATTTTATAAGATTATACAAATATAGATTTGTATTGCTTATTGCTTTTAACTTTGGAAGCTGCCACAGTTGCCTTGAGGTGAGATGAGCAGCAAATAAATTTAATAAATAAATAAATAGTCCAGATTAAATCCAATAATCAAAAGTTAGAAGAAAAGTTTGAATAGTTAATAATGCAAGGAAGGAACCAAATCACTTCTATAAGCCATATCTATTGATAAGTATTTTGCAGTACAGGTAGTCCTTGATTTACGACCACAACTGAGACCAGAATTTATGTTGCTAATGAGAAATTTGTTAAGTGGGTTTTGCCCCATTTTATGACTTTTCTTGCCACATTTGTTAAGTGAATCACTGTAGTTGTTCAATTAGTGGCACGGTTGTTAAGGGAATCTGGCTTCCCCATTGACTTTGCTTTTCAGAAGGTCGCAAAAAAGGATCACATCACTCTGGGATACTGCAACCATAATAAATATGAACCAGTTGTCAAGCATCCAAATGGTCACATGACCATGGGGATGCTCCAACAGTCATAAGTGTAAAAAATGGTCATAATTCACTTTTTTCAGTGCCGTTGTAACTGTGAACAGTGACTAAATGAACTGTTGTAAATCGAGGACTTCCTGTATCTGGAAATTGGCCAAATAAAAGAGGAGACTTGTCATCTGGATCATAAAAACACTTAAATACAGATTAGAAATTTATAACATATGCTGTTAAAATGCCTACTGTACACTTAGTGTAATACCAATCATCAGGAAATGTAACTGTTCTCATAATGAAGAGGACTCTTCATCAATCATAAAGATTCCAACTAACACTGAGGAAAATTGTAGATAACATTGAATGTTCTGGCTTTTAAGAAACAACCTTCATTCTATTTTTTTTGGGGGGGTGGAGGGTATAGATTTGGTTACCTCTTCGAACAAGTGAGTAGGAATTATAAGTGGTGGGTTAAGACCATCTGGAAACCTCTGGAAACTTCAACTGCTCCAGAATGCAACAGTGAGAAGAGTAATAGGCATATGATACCTCTATTAAATGAGCTACATTGGTTGTTACTTTGCTTTTGAGGTGCTTATCATCATTTGTGAGGCCCTATTTCACCTGGTTTTATTGATGTACCTTTCTTGTAGTGTTGGCCTTGATCTAACAAGGTTGGCACACCTTGGGTTAAGCAGTATAGGCACACTTCTATAGGGACCTTGGAAGTGTGCCTTTTCTGGCAAGATGCCAGTGGTCTAAAATATGGTACCCCCAGTTTATTTAACTGGAAGACTAGTTACTATTATCTCCGTTGATGCAGCTGATGACGTTCTGAAAGACCTTAAACGCCTGACCCAGTTTCAGCTTTGGGCTAATCCAGAGGTGGGATTCAAGTAATTTAACAACCGGTTCTCTGCCCTAATGATTTCTTCCAACAACCACTTTGCCAAACTGCTCAGAAAGTTAACAACCAGTTCTCCCGAAGTGGTATGAACTGGCTGAATCCCACCACTGGGCTAATCCTCAATATACAACTATGATAGAGTTGGATTTATGGTTGTAAGTCAAGGGACCCATGTGACCAGAAATAATTTTATGCCCTTTTTAGAGCAGTCATTAAGCAAATGCTGCAATTGTCAAGAAAAAGTATTCATTTGAATGGGTATTTCTTGCTGGAAACCAGCAAAAAACACCAAAAACCTACAAGAAAAACATTGCATATCATGGTCATTGCTATAAATCTGCCAGAATTGATTGGATTTGGGCCACATAACGATCGGGTCTCAGTTTGAAAAACCTTGCATGGTTTTAACTAGCTAGTGCTCTCCTCAGTGTTGTACAATAACAATATCATGCTCAAAGTAGGAATTAGGAGAATCATATTTACATCATATTATAGAAAGTCTCCCCAGCTTAATGCCATACAGAGGAAGTTGGTGCCAATGTCTAACCACTAGGTCAGTGATGGCTAACCTTTTTGCCTTTGCGTGCCAAAAGTGTGGGGAGTGTGGGGGGGTTGCGCGAGCATGTGCCACACCCATAATTCAATGCCCCCCTGCCCCCCCGCATACACGCACAACCCATCCGCACTCCCCCTCTTTTGGCACATGATGGCAAAAAGGTTACCTGTGGGCCCAGTAGGCCTGTTTTTCACCCTCCCCAGGTTCTAGAGGCTTTCTTGGAGCCTGGGGGGGGGGGCGAAAACAGCCTTCTCCACCCCACCCGGAGGCTCTCCGGAGGCCGGAAACGACCTGTTTCCTGACTTCCGGTGCGCCCAGAAAGCCCAAAATTCAGCTGGCCAGTGCACACATGCATGCTGGAGCTGAGCTAGGGCAACGCTCACATGCCCACAAATATGACTCCGTGTGCCACCTGTGGCACGCATGCTATAGGTTCACCATCATGGCACTAGGTTTTTGCACTAAATTGGGAAAGGCAAAATTAAAGCAAGTAGATGCCATCAATCTGAAACAAACATAAAACAGAAGTAGAGAATTCAGATGAAAGGGCAGGTTGAACTCACTGTAAAGATCTGACAGTTCTCCTATTCCTTGAGTCAGGATGACTGAAGCTCCCTTTACTGGATGTGTAAAGTTATTGGATGTCTGCCAGGTTTATCATTTTTTTCCTTTCTCTTCTGTTCTATTTTGGTTTTGTTGCTTTTCACATTATCTGATGTTTTGTGAGCCACCCAGAATCATCTGGAGTCAGGTGGCATCAAATCAAATTAAATCAAACAACCAGAAATATGTAAGAATAAAATTAGGAATCAGCAGAGAGCATTAAGAGCTGCTCCAGTGGCATCTGTCTTTTGTGCATGATGGAAAACTTTTTCCTTTTTTTTAAACTCATGATTAACGCTCAAACCAATATTACTTAATTAATCAAAAATTACCTTTGAATGATATGGGAACTGCAAATTTGTTTGGTCATAGGAAGGTACAGCACTTTAGCTTTAAAATATTTAATAACTGCAGGGATGTGTTTGTTGCCCTACATATTGAATATGTAACTATTGCATTGAGATTGTTTAGGCATGCAAAGAAAGATCTGAGGAGTGAAGCTTCAAGGAAGAAGATGACTGGAAATAAATGCCAAGATATTTAAAAGCATTTACCTGCTCAGTTCAGTTGCGGTTGATGTTCCAACTGTGGGGATGATTAGTGTGCTGCTATGTGAATACATCTTTGTTTGTGCATGATTAATTTCTAGTATTTTAGGTTGCAATGGGAAGTTATTGTGTGAAGCCTGCATTGAAACTCTATTTGAGATATAGACAAGATTAGCCATCATTAGCGTATAGCAGATTGGAGGTGGTTTTTCTGGCCAAGAAAGGGGAATGGAATTCTGCTTCATTAAGAGCCTAAACAATGAATGCCATTGATATAAAAATTAAATACTGGGAGTGGGAAAGTCCTTTTTGGCTGTTTTAGAAATTAGAATAAGGTGAGTTGATGTCTCATTTTTTGAGTATTGGATCTGCTTTGTAGTACCCTCATGCAACATCATAAATTGCCGAAACATGCAATCAGTAGAAGAAGCTGCTAATTTTTGCCACAACCACTCATGAGGAATTGAATCAAACTCTGCATTTGGAGTGATAAAAGCAACAAAAGGAATAATCTACTTCACAAGAAGTGGTGCAAAGTGATGCGTTGTTCGTTAGCAGAAAAACCTATTCTGAAGTTGGTATGTTTAACTGTTAAAAGTCTTTCTTGAACCATCCAATCAACAAGTTTATGTTAAGAAGTTTTGTGTATACTTATTAGGCAAAATAAACTGATTGGATGGTAAGACGACAACACAGATTATATGCTTTTTGCTTATCTTGTAGCAGAAACCGCATTTTGTTTTCTAACTGAAATTTACACATTTCCACCAATATAATAAGACATAAGAAAGGAGTGCCATCTACTGGCTTATCTTTAATTAATTGATAAATTCATTCATTCATTGCAACCCAAAAATTATTTCCAATTTTTTCTGAGATATAATATAAACAAGTATAGTTTTTGGTTAAATTGTTAACAATCTAGTATATGCCAATAATGCTACTGCATTCCAGTAATGCTAGTATATTCATCCTGCTGGTATATTCCAGTAATATGCTAGAAAAATTAATACTAGTTTATAAGGCCATCTGTATGAAACCCAACTTTCAAATTTTTAACTAAAATATAAAAAATATACCACCCACATTTTTATGATATTTTTGATTTAAAAAAAATTGAAGATGAACTTATTTGGAGGTATATATGGGAAATTTGGATACTTTAAAACAAATATTACAGTATTTACTTGAGGATAAGACCATCCATGGGATAAGCTGACTGTTTTTTGAGGTATATTGTGGCACCTAAAATTCTTGGCTTATCCACTAGTATGGTATACATTTGAGGAGTATACTGAAAAATACTAGATAGCTCCCCATTGTTGATTATGAAGCTGAATTCTAAATTAGCACAAACTAAACCTCAGAATTTTGGGCAGTATTCAGACTTAGCCATGTTTTAAACAGATCTACTTGAAAAAATAGAAATACATTGAGTCTGAATCCAACTATTTGGCTATTCCAGTGTGTGCAGCACTTAAATAACATGTTTCTCTATTTTTATGCTATTCAATTCAGTTTCTTATTCTTTCCTGTGACTTAGTTTTTAAAGGATCCTGATTAGGGATGTCTAGTTCAGAGACAAGTTGTGATAAAATTTCAGAAAAATTATTATCACTAATGAATGGAAAAATGTTTTAATTAGAAGCCATCTGTGTTCATTAACTATACCTTTCTTTGTAGACTTCATCTGTAGATGTCACATTCCAATACCAATATGAAGGTGTAGTCTGTGATTCATATGTAGTTTGGGTATCATTTAAGATATTAGAGAAAACTGATTCTGTTTTAAAAATAAAATAGAATAATGTTATAGCTTGAAATTCAAAATGTTTCTAAATCAAGGTGAAACTTCCTTGTTATTTATATGTTAAAAATCAGCCTTCCATCTGAGCAGCATTATTTGAAATTGTCAGAAACATATCAGAATTGTAGCTGTCAGGCCTAAATGTTGGAAATTGAAATCTAAGGGGCCTTACAATTCTTATCTTTTGTTCTAGAAAAATCATTGGTGGAGGAATATGACAAATACTATGCAAAGGCTATTTGCAGATCTGTCTATTTCCCATCGCATTTGCTTGCTCCATCAGATCCAGCAGGGAAAGCATAATCCAGATCCCTTCCATTAAATAACATGATCTTGTTCAGGGGTAGGTTCTACTTAACTTCACTACCGGTGCTCACTTCACTGATGTGCCTGAGCGTTCTTCTGAGCATGCACAGAAGCTTCTGCGCATGCGCAGATCACCTATGATGACGTCCGGGTCAGTGGGCGGAGCCTCTCACCGGTTTTACTACAAGTTCTTGCGAAGTGGTCCGAACTGGCGGCAACCCACCACTGATCTTGTTGGATCCCAGAGTTATGACTTCTCTGTGGCAGCATGTACTCCCCGATCCAGTTAGCCTCTGACTTCTTGCCTAAAAAGCATGTGCTTTACCAGTGATTTTCAGCTCTTCCTTTTACGAACACAAACATTGTGTACTGCCTACCAGTTGTTCAAAAATTAATGCTACTTAAACAGCATTAGCAGAACTGCAAGTAGAATCTCATATAATTGGATGTTTTGCCATATTTACAGACAAAGGATATTTATAGAAAAATAATTCTAATAACTATATTTGTAAATAGATTTTTGTTTGGCAAATTTATTTTGAAAGTTTTCTTTCCTCCTATTTTTTTTTTTAAAATGCAAAGTTATCAGAGGAAAAAAGGTCAAATTCAACAGTTTTGTAATTTCTGAATTTCAGATGGGCCTTTAATATAAGGAAAGCTAAATGTCTTGACAAGTTATACTATCCTGCATGTGATAATCTCCTCAGGCAAATGATAGTCAGAACAGATTTTGGTAAATTAGTATTAAGTCTACACATTTTCAAGGAATTACATACTTTTTTTCAAATTTGCATATGATTCCATCTGCATATATTTTGGGAAGCATCTTAGTTTAATAGTGGAATTTTGTTTAAATTATGAGTAAGGAAAAAAAAAAACCATTATTGCAAGCACAAACCCTTGACTACCTTGAGCTAACAGACAATTTGAACAAAAGAAAATGGCTTGATGCCATTTTGATATATTAAGTAGAAACAAATAGAACTACAGAATGCTCAGCCTGCTTAATGTTAATTTAAATCAAGTATAGGTAGTTCTGTGCTGATATATATATTTTACAAACAGCTCTGACAGCTCCGCTATTACCATTGCCATGCCATAAGCTACCAAACAGCTGATTGGCATTTTAGGAGTTGTGGCTCAGCTCTTCTTTCTACCAGCTCACGAAAGTGCAGGAAATTTAACAGTCACCTTTTAGGAGCTGAAATCTACCAAATGAAAGATGAAAGAAGTATAGAATGCAAAAGGGTTGAGATGAGAGATGGTGGATAGTGAGAACTGCCGGGAGAAGAGTGAGACAAAAAAAGTCAAGAAGAGCAAAGATATTGGTGAGAAGATTTGTCCAGCGAAAAGAGAGAGTCAACGCCTTTAATTCTCTTCCAAAGAATGAGGAGAACTACTGTTTAAAGAAAATCATCATGGGAAACATGCCAGCCGAGGGTCTACTTCAAAGAAAAACCAAGAAGAAGCACAAGAAGCACATTTTGGCTCCAAAAGCCATCATAGGAGTTGGAGAGCTGATGTTGCAGACCGTCCTAAAGATGCTATTTCAACAGGCAATTGGACTTTCTGATTTTTCTTTGAAGATGTTTTGCTTCTCATCCAAGAAACTTCTTCAGACCTGAAGAAGCTTCTTGGATGAAAAGTGAAATGTCTTCAAAACCAGAAAGTCCAGTTGCCTCTTGAAAAAGCATCTTTGGGACAACCATGACCTGGATGACTGAAAATCTCCATAGACATGATATTGCAGACCTTATGCCCCAAGTGCACCCTCAATTTAAGCCAATAGGTGATTACTACAGTAGCATATTTGCCTTGAGTCAATAGCACAGAGTCAGAAAACTGAATAAAAGTAAGAGATTGTATAATGAGGAATCAGTTCCATCTTGGTTTTTTCTCTGCTCCTCTGCAGTTTTCTTTTGTGGGCTACAGTTACCTTTTATAGTTTTTCTGTTAATGCTTACCCTCCACAATCTGCAGTTGTATGGTTTTTACACTTGCATTCTTGTCCAATTTTCTTGTCCCACATACATAGACTCCAGAATCTTGTCTTTTCAAATCATTTATAGTAACACTGAAAGTTCCTGAGCTATTTCCATTGGTCATAATAATTCGGGGACTGTACTGATTATTCTTGCTTTTTCCTACTATGGGAAAACAACCAGTATTGAGCATCTTGCATTTCTTCATTTCCAGCTTGGGAGTTTCAGATGGACATTGGAGCTCCACTGACCCAGTCAGCTTACCCCAAACAATTTGAGGGGATTTGGACAAATGCCGACCTTTATTTGCTAAAGAAAAAGTCAAAGGCATGACAAATTGATCATCAGAAAGCAACAAAACATTATACAATTCCAGTTACACATTCCAAATGCACAGCAAAAGAAACAAATGAATTAGTATGCCTAGCAATTGTAATCATTCACTTTTTACATTTTTTTCAGACTGGGCTTTGAACAGATACAATTAATTTAAATCATTCTAAAAAGTTGTTACACTTTGGGGACCAGAACCATACTGCTCCGCCTTCAATCACTCCAGATAGTTTGGATTATCATTTCATTCATTTCCAGATGGGAATATCCAAAAGGCATAAGCTTGGAAATGGATGAACAATGTTCATTTAAGATCAATCAAATAAAATAACACCAAAGCAACAGCTCTTATTTGTTGGTTGGTTGGTTGGTTGGTTTTTCCAATTTGTAGCTAGGTTAATTATGTGGTCAATAGTTCATAAAGTACATTGATTATTGTTTCTGCCAGAAAACTGTTGTGAACTAAATCAAACATTACAGAAACTTATCTCAATACCATTTGTAGGTCATCCCCCACCAGACTAAAATGTCTGATTCAGTCCTGGTTTGTTCAAAAGACAGTCCTAAAGATAAATCTATCTATTCCTTAATAAATCACATGGCAACTTCCCAATCTTGCAATTATAACTTATTTGTTATCAGTGATTCTAACCACTCAGGTAACTCATTAATAATGACTTAATACGTTTAAATATTGATCTAATAAATTCAGAGAAATAAATAGAATTAACATATTTCCTTTATGATCTGGTGTCCCAGATGCCCAGTATTACTATTGATAACCTCAATATATCTTTTTAATAACTTTATTAGTAACATACTGTCACATTTAATTTTACATCTTTAAGGACTGTCTCATTGCAATCATTTCTGCCCATCCTATCCAATCTGGCAGTATCAGGTGTGTGGGCTAGCCTTTTCTGCCATGGCGTCGCCTTGCAGAATATCATTCATCTGGAGATTAGATTCCCCCCCCCATTGGCTTTCTATAAGGCCTTGGAATCTTGGCTCTGTGCTTGACCTTGGACCCTCCAAGTAACAGATGGAGTCTGCTTGGTAGTTGTGTCGAGAGATCGATTCATGTTTTGTCTTTTTTCTTGGTTGCTCTGTATTTTTACAGTTTTTGTGTATGTATCATTGTTAGATGCCCTGAGTCGTGTATTTGGGATGGGCATACAAATGTATTGTGCACCAGGCACAACCCTCTGGGAAAGAATTTTCAGATCTGAGGTGCCACCAAAGAGAATTCTCACCTCCAGACAGCAACCAATGTGGCCATAGCTATGCTGTGCCCTTAAATTGGGCCTGCCCTGTATCCAAACTAGGCTGAGTCTAATCCTGAGAAACAATGTGCAAAGTATTCAGACCAAACTACCAGTTACCGCATCTTCACAATTCTTCTACTTCTGGATCCTATTAAAAAGGAAGTGGAAATATTGCTTTCTATTGGTTGGTCTTACTGGAGATAAATATGTTATATGTGTATGTGTTTCATATATAAAATTTGCATACAAAGTTAAACTCATGCACAAAGATAAAGCATGAAAATATATGCATGCACAACAAGAGCTTTAAAATAAAAATACTTTTCTTGTATTTCCCCTGTTTTTTCTCATTTTCCTCCACATCTATGATATTACAGCAGTCTTTTCTCACCACCACAGTGGCTATAACACTTGCCTGTCACATAGACATGCATTTGATATGAAACGTAGCAAGAAATGTGTTTTATGTGTTTTAGTTACTACATTTCTCTTCCTGAATTGCTTATCTTTGTGTTTTTTTAAAAAAGAAAAATGTCCCTTGAAGCATTGTGGACTGTACTTACAAAAGTCTAATGATACACATACATGCAGTTCAAATGTGTAACTTTGCCATTGCAATCATTAGTATATAAGCATGGTAAAATATAGATGTCACTTGGTGCAGAGTGAGTAAAGGATTTTCTAATTTTGTATAAAATAATTTCTTAAAAGGCAGAGCAATAAGAAGTTGATTATTTTATATAAAATTGTTCCTTTCCCTTCTTTGAATCAAGTGATATCCATATGTAATCCAAAAGCAAGTTGATTACACAGAAAATAATAGGATTAGTATTGGTAATACTACCGTGTTTCCCCAAAAATAAGACCATCTTATATATTTTTTGAACCCTGAAATAAGCGCTTGGCCTTATTGCCATGCACTCAAAAGCCCGATTGGGCTTATTATCAGGGGATGTCTTATTTTGGGGGGGAAACAGGGTAACTCTATTATTACTACTTGATTTTGTAATATTTTAGTATAAGCCATCAGTAGGGTACACACATACACTCTTTGGAGAAGAATACATTTATGATATTTACTTACCTTCTAAAATAGTTAAATTCACTCTAGCATATAAACCATTATATGTCTTGCCAATGCCACATCTGTAATAACTGGAATCTGTCTTTTTCAGCTCTTTTATTGTCACTTGCAAAATCCCTTGTTGAGGGTTGTTGTACATTGACACTCTTTCTTTGTAATTTTGATCAATGAAACCACTGCTAGAAATGATAGTCTGACAGCTTTTATATGGCAATTCCTTGCACAAAAATTTTCTGTCATGCCTATTCACTGATGTGGGTACATAATAGCATTTGATTGTCACTGATCCAGCAACATGACGTATCAGTAGCATTGGTCCATATAATGTGCTTGAAACTATTTTGAAGAAAAAGAAGGAATGCAGTCAGCACATTATTCCCTCCAAAAGAAGAGGAAGATAAATACAAGATTTACAAGAAAGTCTTTGAAAGAAAATTAATAATCTTAACCCAGATCCAGTTAAATCAGATAAAACTTTAGTAATCATGAATGGATAGAACATATTTTGTTTATTACAGTTATTTGGCAGTAAGTACTGGAGTACTACTGGAGTCAGTGGGATTATTCTGTATTATTGCAACACTTCTTTCATTCTGTCAGCAAGACAAGAAATTATAGTAATACGCATATTTATTTAAATATTACTAATTAATACATTAAAAGATAATCAACTAACAAATATTTAATTATTTAAGAATATCCAAGAGAAAACAAATTATAGTTTGCTAAATCTTGCTTTACTTACAGATTCTTTAATGTAAATATACACTAGGAAAATCTAAGAGTCATTTTCTTCAATATTAAAATAAACATTCAAACTTATAGGAACTGGTTTAAGAAGAATGAAAGCTAAGGTGGAGTCTAGAAATAGTAGCAATGTATTAGCTATATTGATTAAGAAACCACTTAGTCAATAAATTAGCCAGTCTAGTGATTAAGGCACCTGGCTAGAAAGTAGGAGACTGTGAGTTCTAGTCCCACCTTAGTCATAAAAACCAGCTAGGCTACCTTGGGCCAGTCCCTCTCTCTCAGCCCAACCTACCTCATATGAGGAAAATATGATGTGGGGAAAATAGGAGTTGCTGCCTTGAGTTATTTACAAAAATAATAAAGGTGGGACATAAATAATAAATAAATAAATACATAAATAAAATATTGAGTGGTTGATATACATAGAAAAGGTAAACCAAAAAATGAACCCCCAAAATTAGTTTGGAAGTTGCTTCACACACACACACAATTGCTGTTTTAAGGATGCTATGAACCTGTCTTGTTTACAGAATTGTCCAGTCAACCCATCTTTTTTCCTTACTTGTTCTTCCATTATTTTTCCTTCCAGTCAAAATCAGTTAAGAAGGAAATGGCTGAATATACTACACTTGGTACCTTTTTATAGCTCTTTTTGCAAGAATCCTACATCAAACTGCTGAATGAACATTGATTGGATCATTAGTGTCATTCTTTCCTAACATGTGAGGAAAAAGCTAAGGAGATAAAAGTTCTGGCTACTCACCATGTATCAGAGTGAACAAAATAAAGATAATCCGCATCCTGCTTGAATTCAGAAATATTCAAGAGGAAAAATAATTGAATTGAATGGTAGAAACAGAACAGATTCCAAGTTGTCTTGCAATGCCTGATAGCGATATAAAAATCATTTCACTTATTAAAAAGAAAAGAAGTGGTACCCCATTCTGAAGACCTGCAGTCCAATTTTTCTCCATCCCCAGAAACCCCTGAATTTTGTTGCCACTTTTCATTAGAAACCATATGAAAACTACAGTATACCAAAATAAGCTTAATACTACTTTGAAAAACAAAGAATTCCATCCAAATTAGAAAATTAGAAAAAAAGAGAGAAAATATTCGTCTATATGGCATTGCCATCCATCATTTTACATCATTAGATTACCCACTGTCCTCCCATTGACATCATTAAGTCCAGAAGAGAGGGGGGGTGGAGGGAGGGAGGGAGAGAGAGAGGGGGAGGAGAGGGAGAGGGAGAGAGAGAGATTGATTTCCAGTGAAATTCAGTATTTAACATTTACATAGCAGTGGGACATTTAATTAAATGCTTTCTGCAAAAATAAGCAGCTTTCCCAAAGGGTTTCTTTCTTTCCAAAACTTCTCCAAATTCATTTGTAAGATCCGTCTTCCTTTCCCTATTTTTTCTATTGCTAGAACTTCTAAATAACATTGCCAGCAGATTAATGAAAACAATATTTATGTTCAAGATGTTATCATCTGAATTAAAATATTTTTAAGTGCTATTGAAGAGCATCTAAAACACAGGTGTCAAACCCGCAGCATCACATTGCTGTCATGTGATGTATCACGATGTTTTTCCCCTTCACAGAGTGGGGTGGGCATGGCCTGCACATGACGCATCTGGCCCATGGGCCGCCAGTTTGACACCCCTGATCTAACAGCATATTGAATCCTACCTGAAATCTAACCATTTATCCTAATCAGTGCTTGGCTGCACATTATCTAGAGCATTTAACCATACAGTCAGTTTTTATCTACTGAACTCAGAGCTATTTAAACAAATGATCTTATTCATGTCTGGGTCCTTTGGTAGTTTCTCTTTTGGTGATTCAATTGTGTGCAGTTACACTTTACATTTCAGCCACGGTCAAGTCAAAATCAACTCCTACATGTTAAATCTCACTAACTATCACTATGCTCCATCTCCAAACTCTTTTCTCTAAATGTAAATATTAATTCATAGCAAAAAATCAAATTTGATCAGATACAGCACATATTAATGCCCAGCCTGTGTAGTTCAATTAGGCCTGATTAATCTCTCCCAGAGGTGAAATCTAGCAGGTTCTGATAGATTCTGGAGAACCAGTAATGAAAATTTTGAGCAATTTGGAGAACTGGCAGCGGAAATTTTGAGTAGTTCAGAGAACCGGCAAATACCACCTCTGGCTGGCCCCAGAGTGGGGTGGAAATGGAGATTTTGCAGTATCCTTCCCCTGGAGTGGGGTGGGAATGGAGATTTTGCAGTATCCTTTCTCTGCCATGCCCACCAAGCCATGCCCACCAAGCCATACCACGCCCACCAAGCCACACCCACAGAACCAGTAGTAAAAAAAATTTGGATTTCACCACTGATCTCTCCCCATTTGCCCTAAGACCTAATCTTCATATAAAAAGGAATTAAGAGTTCTTTAATGTTTCTATATACTCTGCCTTGTCTCAAATGCAAAGACCAACCATTTAGCATTACTCCCATTACTCTTCTTCTCTAAGGAAAAAAAAACCCTTTATTTAGGGGAAGGTTGTAAGCAGTGATGGAAAACCCCTTTGCCAAGTAGAATAATTCATGTTCAGCTCCATTCTTTCCATTCTCCACTATCCAATCAGAACTGAAGAAGCTTCTTGGATGAGAAGTGAAACATCTTCAAAGAAAAACCAGAAAGTCCAGTTACCTCTTGAAAAAGCACCTTTGGGACATTGTTCAGCTCCAGTTTTTTTATGCAAGCATTCTGTCAGGCCAGAATTCTGTCTAGCATAGCCTTGTCTTCTATGGATAGCATGGCCATTTAAAAGAAAGCAAGAGCCATGGCAGTCTACTGAGAATCTACAGAATACATACATGAATCCTCATGATACTTATTTATTTATTTATTTATTTATTTAAATTTCTATACCGCCCTTCTCCAATATAGGACTCAGGGCGGTGAACAGCCAAAGTAAAAACAAAACATACAAAATCTAAAAACTGTTTAAAATAATTAAATATTCTGGCCGTAATTAAAAAATTCCAATTTAAAATCAGTTTAAAATTTAACTCAAGCCAGCCCAGCTAGCTGAAATAAATGGGTTTTCAGGGCCCGACGAAAAATCCGGAGGTCTGTTATTGTACGTATCTCTGGGGGGAGGTTGTTCCAGAGGGTGGGCACCGCCACAGAGAAGGCTCTCCCCCGGGGGTCGCCAGCCGACATTGTCTGGCGGACGGCACCCTGAGGAGGCCCGCTCTGTGTGAGCGTACTGGCCGGTGGGAGGCTATTGGTGGCAGAAGGCGGTCTCGTAAATACCCCGGCCCTGAGCCATGGAGCGCTTTAAAGGTGGTCACCAACACCTTGAAGCGCACCCGGAAGACCACCGGGAGCCAGTGCAGCTCGCGCAGGAGAGGTGTCACATGGGAGTGCCTCGTCGCCCCCATAATCCCCAGCGCGGCCACGTTCTGGACCAGCTGGAGCCTCCGGGTGCACCCCAGGGGGAGCCCCATGTAGAGAGCGTTGCAGTAGTCCAGGCGGGAAGTGACGAGTGCCTGAGTGACTGTGCGTAGGGATACCACCTTTGTTGTACAGAATACATATATGAATCCATAGAATACATGAATCACCTTGATACAACCCTTGCTGCTATTATAATATAAATTGTATTCATGAAAATGTCATCATTATTTCTAAATTTATGTCTATACATACTACGACAATCAAATGCAAATCTGCATTCTATTTTTCTTCTTTTTTGATAATGCAGAAATGAGTTATATAATTTATAGCACACACTAAGACACCATGGGTCACATCCTAATTCAGCAAGTATGCAGGGCAAATTTATTTTAAATTTAAATCCCATTTTTCAATGGAAACTGCAGAATGTCATATAAATACATTGAAAAATAACCTTGATAAAATTGGGTCTTTGGTTTGAGCACATAATGCTGAACCTATTTACTTGAAGTCACCTTATAGTCAAGGTAACCTAAACTGAGGAAGGGCTGAAGTGACTATTGCAATGGGCTCTGGAATTCCTAATCCTAATTCTAATCTAACCAAGTTTTTCCTTTTATTAAATTGATCAATTTGAATTGAAACAGGAGAAGAATTAGCTTGCTTCCTATTGCAAAAATGGGCAACCTGCAGTCCCATGGCATTGGAGGCCCTAAGTCCCCTTTTAGTGGCCTTTGGAATTATCTCTGACCGTGACTGCTGAAAATTGATGGCAGTTTTGTGCCTTGTTGAAAAAGAGGGAAAAAATGAGACTGGCAATATAAGTCCTCAAACAGGATTATTACAAACTTCCATCCTCAAAACAACTTTCATTCTTTATGTCTGGAATAGCCCCATTCACTCTGCGGGCATTGGTCTTCAAGAAACAATTGTGCTCCTTACCCATCAAAAATTGCTTGTTCATACCTAACACTACTGTTGCTGTTAAGATTCCTCCTCCAAAAGCTGCTACGTGAGAGTCACTTTTGTGGCTACTTTGAATAAAGTGATACTTAGTAAGATCAGCATAATAGAAAATTAAGAGTTTTGTTAGTCAATGTAATCTCATGCATGTTTACTTAAAATAAATGTCCCTGTGATCAAGGGACACTTGTCCCTGTGATCAAAACACACTTATGTTGCAATCCTGTTCAATCCTGTTACTTACCACAGAAGTAAGAGTCATTGTATTCAATATGGCATGCTGTCAACATTCTACTAGTTTCAGGAAAAACTCGTTTTTATAAAACACAATGTACATTTTAAATATAATTTACCATATGCCACTTTGTCACTTCGCAGTAATTTCAATACAATGTTATTCATTAAAAAACTTTATTCGGTATTTCCTTCCATGTAGAAGCTTGCCTTGTACTTACCTAATGATGACTATTTCATATACCTCTATTTTCCAGATATTATCTTTGATAGTTGCATCACTGACCTAGAAATCCACAAAATACAGATGATAAAATTTTGGTTGCATTCCGAAATATTTCCTTACTATAGATATGGCTAATTTATTTATTTATTTATTTTAATTTGATTTATATGCCGCCGTTCTCCGGAGACTCAGGGCGGCTTACAATGTGTTAAGCAATAGCCTTCATACTTTTGTATATTTATACAAAGTCAGCTTATTGCCCCCACAATCTGGGTCCTAATTTTACCTACCTTAGAAAGGATGGAAGGCTGAGTCAATTTCAGTCCAGCCATTCAAAAAACTTCAGTTTCATGTTATATCTTGTTCAGCAATTAGGCTGCAAAGGAAAACAGTTGCACATTTAAAAGAGGAAGCCACAATTCTGGCTTTATATATCTCAATTACCGCCGTCTGTAGTATAATGAAGTTCTTGATTCAAAGAAGAGGAAGGACCTGAGGTCATAATGAAACAAAATCCCCTGAAGATGGACAAGCTGCAGATTTTTTTTTAAAAAAATCTAAGTTTAAGTATGATATATTGGCACTTACTTCACAAATCAGCAACTTAGTTCATAAGGTCATTTCCCTTGAGGCTCACCACATACCGTATTCTGTGTCTGACTTTATGTTTTAGATTCTTATAGTTTTTAAAATTTTAAATTTAAAATAGTTTTTAAATTATTTTGATTCAAAACAAACAAACAAGCAAAACCCTGAGAATGTAGGAAGTTGCAAAAGCCCTTCTACAGTATCTTTATTTCCAAAAAGTTTCTGGGCCTCCTGTAAACTACTGGGGTATTCCTAGTAAAAGAAAAAGGATGAGGAGATGCTGCCTGCTACTTTAGGAAAATACCTACTTAGTCACAAAAAGAGCAAACAAAGGAAAGGTGGTAGAGAGAATTCTTGAAACTAGAGAAAGTAATAGAAATGGAGCAAGCTTTCCAATTGGCTATTAACTAAATTGATGTTTTATGGATGACCATATCACTATGACAGTCATTTGGCATATATGCAAAATCCTGCATGTTGGCCCTTTTGTGAGAGTGCTCCTAATATGTCTCAACTTTGTAAATATGTCTCCAAGTCCCCAAATTTGCCTACATTTAACATACATAATAAGTCTTCTATTTAAACTATTCAAGAGTTTTTTTAAAAAATTAAGAATTTTAAATAGTTTTCTTTTTG